TCACTGGGACGTATTGCTGTAGCCCGGAGGAGCCCAGGGATGAACCAGACGCTAGCCCCCAAAGCACGACAATATGAACAGAATACGCTACGCGAAGGGTCTGAAGCGTTGCTGTAAAACAGAGAGGCATAGGCCATGCTGTTGTAGCCAATTGCTGTTATCCCTTGCATCAATTTAATTTTTTTAAAGCTACTCAAATATATGCACGGTGCTTCGCTGAAAATTTAATAGCTAAAGGCTCAAGAAAGTGACAGTAGGAAGCTATCAAGACATTCAAGACATAAGCATTCCTTTTTTTTTTTTTTTTTTTTTTCCCTCTCTCCCCACACACTTGTCCCCTTCCCTTGTTTTATGCCGGGTTAAAGCATGTGAAGAGCCAAGGAAAGGATGCAAACCGAGGGCCTCGTTTCACGGGGCTCAGATCCATGTGATTTTGATTTGCCTTTTCAATGAAGGATGCTAAGATGTATGTTAATCTGTGGCACACCAGAGAGGTTTGGAAAGTCTTTTTGGTCTTAATAAGCAACAAGGGCTTTCGCCCTGGTTTTAGGCAGTTCTTGGAGATGTACGGAGAGCATTTAGAGAGTTCCTCAGTAAATCTTCCTGGTAGTAGAGGGGGGGAAAAATCAAAAAAGCTCATTACTGGAATATTGTTGGGTAATAAACTGCAGGAGTGGGATTTTAGCCTTAAGCCCTAAAACTAAATCCTTTATGATCTGCATGTAGTACATCGCCTTATAATATTATTCTGTCAGAAACTTGCTTATCATATTTATAGATGAGGCAACATGCGGCACACAAGCTCAGTGTGCCATTGAGCAGAACTTGCAGCCCACTTGCATGCGAGCGAACATGCTCACCTGTCTGTGCGCCGGCCCTGAGCATTGTGGCCCTGAGCATTGGTCCTTGCAGACCTAGGTACCACTAACTCTGCACCAGCGTTTCCGTGAGTGCGAATAAGAGGATCGCTGACCATGAAACCAAGGACGGGTTGGCATCTGGCTTAATTCGCATTTATAGGCTACTTGGAATAGCACAGGATTTTTTTTTCTTCTTCTTCTTTTTCCCTTGCATTTAAAGAGACACTGTCAACTTCTGTCAAGCCCAAGGGAAAGATGGAAAAAAAAAAGTGCTTGGATAAAATAAAACTGAGTTGTACACTTTTATAGGGACAGGGAGGAGCTGGGGAAGGCAGAAACGTGGTTCCCACAGGCCTCCAACTTCACCAATTCTGGGGAACTGAAAAGCAAAATTGGTTGTCGCTGAAGGAGTAACGTTTCCAGGCTGCATTCACTGGAAAGTAAAAAGCGCAAATGAATTATGGTGAGCGATGCAAAACCCATTGGAAACGAGAGTCCGTGGTCCCTCTTGGTTTAAGGAAAGGGGACCTCAGGATTCGTTCCAGCCTTAAGAAAAGGTTGGAATGGGTTGCCCAGGTCCCCCAACCCTCAAATGCATTCAGTTTCCATAAGCTAAGGTGCTATCACAGAAGAAAAATCAGTCTCTACAAATAATGAGCTGTATGTTTACAGTGTCCCTTTCACACCATAGTCTTGATATGATTTCTTTGATTTCTTTTTTCTTTCTTTTTTTTTTGTAAATAAATAACAGAATAGAAATGCAGTATTTTTTGTGGAGAATTTTACTTCCCCTCTCTCCCATTTTAATATCCATCTTGCCGTGCCAGGTGTTGAGAGTACTGAAGGTCTTGAAAAAGAAATAAAATAAAGTTGAAAGTACCTATTTCAAATTTCAACAACTGACTTTTTTTTTTTCTTCTTCTTTTTTTAAAAAAAACATTGTTACTGCAATGGAATAGCTTCATGTTCAGTCTTTGCTTTCGTTCAACATTTTAATTGGGCTGTGGAAATGGAGCTTGGGGTGTTTTACCCAAGTTTGAACTGACCATTTAAAGAGACGATTTGTCACACACAGTTTGCATCCATGCAGACTGAGAGCTTTATAATTACATTATGTACAAAATTTTTTTTTTTTAGTTTATTAAGGCAACTACAACTTGGAGAACATGTCCAAAGTGGCATTAATACAATTGCAGTGGTGATACCTTTTGAACATTTTTATTTTTAGATAAGAACACTTATTCCTTTTTTTAAGAAATAATTGCCAAGAAAGGACCTATTTTCCATAGGGTTTTGTTTTCTATTTTTTTAAAACAATCTACTTTAGCTATTTTATTTAAAAGAACATATCAAGGCATTACTACCCAATGTAAATAATTCAGATCCTGGATTTCCCATCAATCCCATTGGGAATTGCAGGTGATAAGAACTGGTAGGTTTGGGCCCAGTCTTTTTACTCTATTTTTTTTCTGTCCTTTTTTTTTTCCTTTTTTCTTTTCTTTTTTTTTTGGTGATTTTGTCCATGTTTGCTATAACGCTATTCCCCAGAAGTGCCTTGCTGTTCTCTTCTCATATGTACCGAGCATCAAAACAACTTGGATGACAGATGACCCCTTTTTTCACATGCCATTGAAAACGCCAAGTTGTTTCACAGAAACATGCTATCGTAACCGGATATCCATGTACATCTTATTTTAAAAGCTATGATACTCCATCGATCCTTGGGTTAGCACTCGGATTGAGTGTGCGTGCATGTAAGGCTCTACTTCTCTATTGCCTATATTGCAGCTAGTTGTAACTAGGCAAGTAAATGAGAAAAAATATATATATATATATATATATATAGGTC